GAAAAGGTGACATGTGCGCGTTTTCAAAATAATATTCATTCCCAAATGTGATCCGTTTTTCGTGCCAAAACAACCATGCAGAAAAATGGACTTAAAATGGTGCGGCCACTCTTCGAAATTCGCATCTAAAATTAAAACCATTTCAGAAATTCAATTCGAAAAACGAAGTTTTTTCTTTGTATTATGAGTGTTCTGTGTTTCCGTATCAACAATGCTAAGCATTTCGGTTCGACGTCAATATTGGTATTGTTGTTGTTGGTCTCGATAATGTCAGAGTCACTTTAGCAGAACTGGTTTTTATGTCATTATAATATGCAGCAGCCACATCGAGACTCTTCCATATACATGTGCGTAGCTCCCGCTAAAGACAAGTATCAAATACTGAATGCTCGCAAAGCACGCAAATAATAATAAAATGTGAAACACCCTTTGCACATATTATATTGTAATCGTGTGCTGGTTGCTAATTTTATTAGTGCCAATGCAACGTTGAAAATTCACTCTTGGAAGCGAATATTAAATCATATTTTCGTATTTGTACATTTTAAGATCGACGGAATAAGAGCGCATTAAATGTTGTAAAACTTTGAATGTGCGGACCAAAGCACACATATAAACGCATCAAGAGTGTTCTTTAAATTCGTTGCGAATGTTTAGTCGAATTTGTCGGGTCCATTCTGGCGGTTGTGGTAAGAACGATAAAACACCAGTGGGACTTATATTCATGTTGTGCCCAGGGGCGATTCAACCAGATTCAAGTCCGTGTCACATTAAATGCTCAATTCTATTTCTAACGTGTGTGTGTGTGTGTGTGTGTTTACGAACCTTGCAAAATCGGCCTGCAAACTTTTGGGATTTCATTATATCAAACAACACAAACAGAAATCGAGTGAGCAAGAGAAAGATCTACTCGACTTGATTGCAAAAACGGCGAGAAAAATTTGTTTGCATTACATTTCCAATCCTTCTTTTCAGTTTGTTTCTTCATTTTAAACTTTTATTATTTTATCCGACAGCATGCGGCTGTGCTCGCTCTCTCTTTCTTAGTTCTCTCTCGGTTCGTATTTCTTACTAACTCGCTGTTTCTCTCACTCACTCCGCCTCTTCCTGTGTGTGTGCTTGTTTTGTCTCATCCGTGCTTTATCAGTGCGGTATTCAACGCGATGGTTTTGCTCTCGATAATTTATTAAAAATTTATGATAATAAACAACATCTGGTGATCGTATTTATTGGTGTCATTGGCAATGGCAACAATTCGCATTCCGTTTTTCCGCTCGTTCTTTTTTAAGGTCCCCATGGCACATTACATAGCATCTCTTTGCTTTTGGGTGTAAACGCAGCAGTTAACAACATCAGCGTCGGCGGTCGAATGAACCTAACCAATAAATCGTATGTCATTTTGAAACGATAAACTCTCTTGCTTGGCGAACGAAAAGAGTGAAAAAAAAAACTTTTACGCGGATTATTTTCGGTTGATCCCTCACTCTCTCGCACTCTTTCTTTCGGTTGTCACGCGTTTTCTTTTTTGGTTGGGAATTCTTTGGCCCGCTCATACATATAGATTGCTTATTATATGCTAATATCTATATCAATGATATACCAAGAACACTTTGAAATAATTTCCGAAATGGTTATGCGGCGATTGGATTAGCAAATTTACGTTCATCGAGTGGTGAATCGATGACACACACACACACACACTTTCATTTCTAAATACATTTCGTTTTGCCTGCACTTGATTTTTATACAATTTGAGTGTACACGGCAAAAGCGGACAATAGATTACATTTTTTTTGGCTCGCTTTAAACGCTTTCGCAATCATTACAGATTCAAGTAAAGCACATATTTTCAAAGTACACGGCCAGCAGAGCGTCAATTACGAGAAGAGAGAGGGAGAGGGAGAGAAGAAAAGGAGAAAGGCAAATGGGGAGAAGATGGCGAATAAACGAAATGTGTGGTTTAGTTTGGCGAGACGAATGGGAAATATTGAAATTAAAGGATCATTTGGAATGTTAGTGTGTGTGTGTGGTCCACAAGTGTTCTGAACATCTTTTTGTGTTTTATACAATTAAATTTTGAAATTGCAATGGCAATGGCTTGTTCAGCGATTGGAATAAAAATGGGTTTCGTTACGCTTTCTGGAATACTTACTTTTTACGAAATAGAGAGATAGAGAGAGGGAAGTAATTTCCATCGCAGTGGACCAACATAATTGCGATCTTAAAAAAGCACTTGTGCCTAAGAAAAAGCAATGAAGCAATGGCAATAGAACAATACGACAACGTAAAAATGCGGCAAACGAATAATGACCGCGTACAACTGTTCTTTCTACGGTTCTTCTGAGTGAAGAAAGAGGAAAATTATCCGAGAGTGGCAAGAAAAAATTAATTGGTTTCTCTTTTTGATACCTACGCGCCAAAACAACTGTATGACGAAAGAGGCGGAAAAAAGGGAATTATAACACACATAAAAACGCATAAATTTATTCAAATAAGCTCGTTAAAATGATTTGATTTTAATGTAGTACATGCATGTGAACAATACACTCTCAGACACGACGCGCACCGTCCGGCACCCATGCCCTATGGAACTGTGCTCTACGATGATTTTTTTCTACTTTCCCGCATTTTTGTTTTAATGTTCGTTTGCGTCCAACCATCGTACCACACAACTGAGCTCTACCATCCCACGCCATAATTTCCTTCATATTTTTCCGTATTTTTTTCTATTCTTGTTCATTCTGTGCGCGTGTTTAGTATTTTTGCATATCGAATCTAAAAAAAAATTGTTATCGCTTCCATATTCGTCCGCAATGTTTCCACATTGCTCAGGTCGTGTTCAATTTTTACACTTGGTTAAATATTTTCTAAAAAGAGATTTTATCTTGTTCAAAAGCGACCATTGTTCGAATCCAACTTTCCAGTTTCAACCTTTTCTCTTTTTTTCACTATGTTTTCTTTCGGCGTTTTCATTTTTTTTTTCTCTAAAGAATGCAGGAATTCACCGCGTTTCTTTTCAACGGAAACAGCATTTTGATATTCGATTTGCATTTTTTTCTTTGTCATTTCCTTTTTCATCTCTTTGTCACCAAGAGATTGGTATTCGCTTTTTTTTCGCTGGGCTGTAATTAAAGAAACTGACCAAGCCACTCAAACTTGTCCTAACAACTCTTTATTTTATTTTATTTTTTTTTTTTCATTTGAAAAGAAAGAAGAAATTACATTCATCCTTCGTTATGCCATTGATGTGGAAGCTACGATAATATTTTCAAATGGTCATAATTGACACAATTTTTCTCGGTGCGCGTGTTTTTGTACTCTTTGCAAAATTAATGGGACTCATTTAAATATTTGAATGAAAAAAAAGTGTTTGTGTTAATTTTTTCATTTAAATTTTTGACTATGACAACAAAGAAACTTTCAATGCTTTAAGATATTCAGATATATTCCATAGATTCTCTTGAACCAAGCGAGTAGAGAAAAAACACACACCGAAGTTTCTTCATCCGAAGTTATAATTGGAAATGAAATGTGGCCAATTCACTTTGAGCATAAAAACGAAATTTAACGAACAAGATAAATGGCGGATATATTTAAATGCAATCTGGATTTTTAATCAGCAAATTTACAGTCGCATTTTCAATATTGTTCAACATCACCAAGTTCAGCCGAGATGCTTCTAAAATTGATCGCAGATTTTCAAAATAAAGCGGTTTTTTTTTTAATTATCCCGATTAAAAAGCATAAAATTTACCGTTTTTCTGACATTATTTTGTTTTCGAGAATTGCGCATTGAAAAAAACTTAATCATTTAATGATTCTCATCAGATCAAAATAAAATATTAAAACGAAATACTTCATTGCGCGAATCAAGCGTTCATCGTTACGCTGCATCGCACAACCAACGTCGGTGCTGACTACACATTGAATGGGAGTTAAAAGCGCCATAGCATCGTTCTCCATTTGTCAAAAGTTTATAACAAGTGTTAAAGAAGATCGTCGTATCTCGGAAAAAGTTGAAACACACGCGCCACACTACACACAAACACACAGTGAATCCAAATAGAAAATTACATCCCAAAATAGGATAGATAAGAAATTTGCTCAACAAGCAATATTTCAGTCCAAGAAAATGCTCATTTTTAAATTAATATTGTGAATAAATAATGAGCAAATAGCGTGGTCTCTCTGCATTTTCCATTCCTATTTAAATATTCACGGGCAAAGAGTTTTTGAATAACGATTTTCGTCGATGTACCAGAATGTTTGGCACGGCACACCACATTCGCAGCTTGTAAAGAAGAAGCACAGTTATTTAGTGAGTGAATCGTTCATCGAATGCTTCTCAAATGATAGACACTTCGATTTTTTTTTTGAATGGCGTTGTAATTTCAAGCGCGAGCTATAACACACACACAAATGTTCGTGTAACGCAAATGCAAAAGTTCAATGAAACTCCATAGATAATTTAATTACCGTTTGGATTGCGGAAAATGATGGAGAGATACGCGATGGAAAAGTTTTTGGTAAATTCCACTTTATGATGTTACACACATTTGATACAATCTGCCCATCTCTCCTCTTTCTCTCTGTGTGTGTATCTTGTTTGCCCGTAATCCGCAAATTCCGCCGAAAAATGTTTGTATGCAATGTGGAAATTAATGAAAATTGATGAACAAACACGATTTTTGGCCTGTTTGCTTCGAGTGAACGCAAATAAAAAGTTTACGTTTTGAAACCCAACAGGGAATCAACATTTTGCTAATTTTATGAATAATACAGTTTGTGCAATATAAAATGTGTGTATCTTTCTGCAATCGTTCAATTTCAAATGCATTTTAAAACGCACAAAACAATATCTCAAACATACAAAATATCCCAAACAAAACCCACACAACAAATAAAAAAAGTTCGCAATTCGTCGAACTTTAATTTGTATTGAATTTAGTATGGCGTAAATTTAACACTTTTTCTCTTCTACACTTTTTTTTCATCCACAGAAGTTCAGCGAATAGAACGTCAGCAATCATAAAATAGGATTGGAAGCTTAACCACATACGGCTCGTGCTGCATCAGTTAAAATGCGATCTGTGGACAAACGAGGAAATTAGAACAAAATAAAAAGATCGAAATCAACGCGGCAGGAAAAAAAGGCGAGAGTAATTTACTTTTTTGCCGTGGTCATCAAGAGTTTTTTTTTTCATATCGCAATTCAATCGTAATTTTTCGAAATAATACGCGTTGGCACCATGGTTTGTTGTTGTGACTCTTGCATTCCGTTTTTTTGACCATACAAACGCATCATAATTTTTATTTGCATTTAAAGCATTCGTTGAGCGAAACAAAAAAATTACAGTATTTTCCAATTGGCACTTTTTATATATGCAATGGCTATTTGAGGGCGAATGGACAATATAACACTTACGCCAATTCACCACAAGCAGCCGATACAGGCAGACAAATAATAATAAAAAAAACAACATTCTCTCTCTCGACAACCCAATGAAATGCAAAAACGTCCGTATCCAATAAAAATTTAAATATTTTTTACCAGTTCGCGCGCCAATTCGAGATCCCATTGTAAAAGAAGCAGCGACACCAGCGAGGAAAAAAAATCATGAATTAATTACCAACAATGAACATCGCAACAAAAATTTAATCTTCTATAAAATTGAAAAAAAAGCGCTCGCAAATACATTTCGTGTGAATGCGACACCGAATAGTAAAAAAAACTTTTGCGAATATTTTAAATTATTCTGCATTGTGAAAAGTGTGCATGTATGCAAATAAATCGATACGAATTGAACAAATATTCCGATCACAAAATAATTCGCTTTACAAAACCAGAGTAATTTTCACCGAATTTAAATAAAAACGGTGCAATCATATTTTCTCATTTGGACAGCAAGAGATTAAAGTGCAAAAGAGTGCACAATATCGAACCAGAATAAGAGTTCCATACTAATTTCTGATTGATTGCGGTAAACGCGTTGTTCTGTGACAAATTTAATTTCCCAATTTGAAGCAGACTGTAGAAAAACCAAGACCAACAGAGGAAAAAATATATATACACATTGTATCGATTTGCCTGAAGTGAGACTCACTCAGAGAGAGAGAGAGAGAAAGAGAAAATAAGCCAGTAAAACCAATTGATTAAATTGAGTGTTCAGTTGCGTATGTGTGACATTCATTTATCGCATCGACACTGATTAATCAACTAGTAATTTTGTTTTTGATTTCACACACTTCTGATCCCGACTATCAACAAGGAACAACAGCTGCCACTATCACCGTACAAAACACCAACAACCATAATACTAATAATAATCTACAGCACATTTCGCTGGGCGAATCGCAAAAGTAATAAATCGTAACATACAATTCGGTGCGAAATTCGATCACGCTGCGGGCAAATTGTGTGACATCGTTTTCAGTCATCCGAAATGACCATAAACTATTTGCTGGACACAATAAATTAACGAAAATAACAAATTTGCGCGTATTTATAAAATTTGTGCGTGCATAAAAATGTGTCCATTTTTGAATTTCGATGCAGTAAACACATAAACAATATGCAATTCAGTGGAAAAATGCAAATTGGTTGACAAAAAAAAACAACATTCGTAAATAATTGAGTGAATATAAATAAATGAAAATAAACAAATAGCGGAAACCAATAAGTGAGCTTGGTACAGAGAAAAAAAAAATTAAATATAAAAAAACATATGATGCGAGACAAACGAGTGCAATAAAGAGTTTGTACGCGATAGAATCAGATAAAAAGAGATAGAATAAACGCACGAACCAAAACTAATAGTTAAATTGTGGCGAAAAATATTTAATTAAATAAACTGTAGCGATATTTCACTTATAACATTTTCAATTTGCCATTTCAAATTGGCAATTTTGCTGAATGTTTTGCAAATCGATTATTATTTGGTGCTTTTTCAATTAGATTACGTGGAAAACCCCATAAATTAGCTTCGATCACGAAAATAACAGACGCACAACAACACAAACAATACCAAACCAATTGCCAAACCCTGCCAAATGCTGATAAATTTGCCACATTGAAAACATACACAGTCATTTGTCGTGCGGGTGTTCAGCGATATTATAAAAATAAAAGCAGCTTGTATGAAAAACGGACAGAGGTCATATCACATTGTTCTAAATAAAAATTTCAACAATTTTAATCGACGAAACGCAGCGTCAACAAACTGCAACGTGAGTGAGAAGAGAATACAGGGGAAAGAAGACAAAAACAGTAAAAAAAAGAGAACGAAACAAGTGATCAAAACATACATTCCAATGGACAAAATGAAATCACAACACGGCATAAAGTTGGCTAGCAACAACGGAAGCAGCCGGCACAATGTTGCTACAACAATAACAACTGAAAACAATGCACACGGAAAAGCGATTGCTTTTCGCAACTGTGCGCATTTTTTCAATTTGATCGCGACCATTTTATTCGCAACGATTATGATTGTCAATGTTCGGCATTCATGCGGATTAATTGAAATTCAAACAGAAAAGGAAAAACACGGTAAGTAAACAAGCGAAAAAAACATTTACAAATACATTTGTTTAATTTTTCAAACGAGATTACCCTTTTTTTACTGTACATTCACACACTGTCGCTCTCTCTCTTTCAACATACCCTTTCCGTTCATTTTAATTGTTCGGAATTTTGTTTGTTGGAAAGTTAGCGAAAGCATTTATTTACGAAAAAGTCAGTGTCGCCAAGGGGCCGCAACCAATACCCCGTGTAAAAGTGCCAGAACAAATTAAACAAACAATTGGAACAAACAATTCTATAAATAGTAAATCAATAGAACAAATATGTTAGATCGCTTGAAATGCCTAATACAAACACGATGAAAAAAACATCCAAATCATAAATCAAAAAGGTGATATCTCTGTTTTCTAACTCTGGTGGGTCATTTTTTACATCAAACATCAGTTGTTTATACAACTTACAAATTATATCGTAGATTCAATTTCACTTGTCTTCAGTAGGTTCTATACAGATTTTTCCACTTATTATATTTTTGTTATTAAATAATTTACGAGCTCAAAAGTTGGCGTGAACATATAACTATCGATTGAGGTAATATTAAACTTTTTAACGATGTGAATGCATCATTTTAATTGTCCCAACTTAAATTTTTACATATAAAACATTAATTATCATCGAATTAAATATATTATCTTTATTTATTATTCGATTGGTACTTTTTTGTTGGTCCGATTCTGAATTTGCATTGAAAAAAAACCGTGAATAAGTTTTTTGTGTGATAACCATGTGAGTTGTTGTCTTCAATGGCAAATGAGTTGATGGTACTAACTTAATTCGACGTCAAAACGAGGTGAGTGCAGTAATTGGATTATGCTGAAAATTACGTGGAAATGTTTGGATATTTTTTTTGAATAAGACTTGGTGGATGATGATTTTCTGAAACTCGTAACCGCGTTACCTCTCATATATTTTAAATTGCCATTTCCACTCTATATATCAATTCAAAATTGAATGATATCCTGTGTATGTTTAAGTCAAATTTATTAGTACAAAGGCTATTCGGATTTGCGAATCTCTGTGTATGCAAACATTCGCATTTCGTTCAATTTCAGTTCCATTGCTTTTCCTCGCTCTATCTCTCTTGCCGTTCATAAATTGAAAAGGTTTTCAAAATTACCAGAGATATAAGCGTACGTTTGCGTCTTTCATATGAACTTGGATGATATAATTCGTTGGCGTGGCACAATGATAAATTCAACTGTGAAAAGATTCAATTCAACATTTTACAACGATTAGATGCGAGTATAAGCATACAATAGCATCAATAATTTTGCACATACAATTTAATGAAATGCGAGAGAGAGCGAGAACGAGCAAGAGAAATCAATGGAATCAACGTTCGTTGTCTAATGCACGCACTTGCACTCAATTTAATGAGCAAATAAACTGCAGGTATAGGGCGTACGCTTAATTCAGTTCACACAGGTTCTTCGCATCGCAATTTATCGTGCACACACATGAAGCAACATCAAATTATGAGGAACGCAATGAATGCATCGAGGGGATTACAAATAGGTATGCAACATATCCAAACCCCATGAACAACACCGTCTCTGAATCTGACTCGATTCGATCCTCTTCAAAATTTCCATTTAGTTCTCTCTTACTTAATTTTACTTTCATATAACTATACATTGCATACACACACCGGTTATTGGTCTCCGCGCCGTTTAATGTTTTCAATTCGAATGCATCGTTAACAATAAAGTCAAATGCAATCAAATGTAAATGCTGAATGTATTCGTCGACAACAACCAAATCCGTTTTGATTAATATTCAACTTTGGCACTCGTTCTCGCCAATTCCACGAATTTTCATTGTTTCTGCCAAAATTGCAGTTGATCAAAATTCGAAAAGTTTTCGCCGCCAATTTCGTGAACCGTCATTGTGCTCGGTTTTTTTTTTTTCAAAGCAATTCCATTTCACCTGGCAATTTAACAACGATGCGTTAAATAAAATTGTATAATAATAGAATTTATGGATATCAATTATGCACAATTGACAAACTTCACATTCAATGTGTATTCAATGCAACGTGTTGTTTCCATTTTAAATTCCACTTTATGTGAGTTTTCTGCAATGTTTGCAATTTTTAGCTAACCAAAAAATATCTACGCAAACGGCTTCAGTGTACACCTCATAAAACCAGTTCCTTTTTTGTCGTAATTCAATGCACACACACGCACAAATCGCATAATTTTTACCACGCACTCGGCACCACCATGCTGTGTGTGTTCAATAGAAGTTCATCGTTGAAGCGCTCTATTGTTTTGTTGTTCATTGAGTGTCATCGGCCTATATCGTTTCATGTGCATTGTACGTAAGTGAGTGAAATGCGATTGTATTTAATCGGGAGTGCATATCGAATATGAATTGAACCGTTGCGCACAAAATCGCCTAGGTAGAAAATCATAAAGGTCCTTGCTGAGCGATGCCTCAACATTCTACATGGATGCGAATAAATGGTCTCTCACATTTCGAACTCGCATCGTCACTGTAATTTTGCATCGTATGCATAAATCTTTCAACATTTTGTTGTTGTTGTTTTTTGTCCCGGTTTATCGTCAACGATGTGATTGTTGTGTGTCTGTGTGTATGCACATGTTTGACCGGGTCCGGCCGTCTAAAAACCGAATAATCAAAAGCTTTTCAAAATGTTCAATTCAGTTGTTTTAATTTATTTTGCAAACGTCGTCATTTTTAACGCGAACCACGCGTAGTCGTTCAGATCAAAGCCATTGTATAAAGGGTTGGATGAAGAGCTTTTTCACTCAATGCATTCACTAATTGGGAAGTCAAAGCATTCGCGTGCACGATAGAGAAGTTGCTCGTTGAACCACCTACTTTGGCCGCAATGTATCCGACAGGTTAGATGTTTGTTTGTTAGTTTTTTCCACTCGCTTTCTGTATCTGGTCGGAAAAACAATAGGTAATCGCTTTCCAACCGAGCTTAGAAATGTAAATAACTTGACCGTGTCGTATTCCAGTATATAGACATTGACTATTAAGCAATTAACTGTAAACCGCAGTAATTTTATAGTTTGCAGAATATTTACGATTTTAACAAAAAAAACGGTTTTTTTGCACGTAAATGTCTGTATATGCAGCTATTGAAACGACCTCCAACCTAAAAACACAATCCACATTCATACTTGGATTTTGGTGCTTTATACAGCTCTTTCGTGCTCTCTTGTTTTTGCTCGATTCATTTCTCTATTGAGCAGAAATGCGGCGGAATATGATGTGTATAAGAAGAACACTTCAAATACCGTTTTATGTACGGGAAGAAGAACAAAGAAAATGGAAGTTAATGTGAATTCCAGCAATTTATTTTGCATTTCCGTTACACTCCGCGGTACAACAAATACACACGGAGGCAAAACCATTTTCGTTTTTTTTTTGTTCGGAATCCGACGAATAAAAAAAACTTGTTGTAGTGAAATGAAAAATCAGAGCAGCTTGTTGTAATATTCCCTCATTAGACGTCACTCAAAACACAAGCGTTCAACGTTTTTCACATTATTTCCATTTGAATTGAAAAATTGTTTCATCAAGACAGTTGACAGATATATTGAATGTCAAGCACTCTAACCAAAATAATCTCAAAATGAGACAGTTTCCTTTTATTTACAAAATAAAAATGTGATGCGGTCTATTTGTGAATTTCACTGAACACATTCGCAGAAGGGACTGTTTGTAATCAAAAGAGTATACGATATGGAATAAAATGTCATTGAAGAGATAAAAGGTGTGCTTGCGTCAATGTAAATATAAAAAAAACTCATGGCATCCATGTGAGGTGAGCTAGATTTCAGCGATGTGAATTTTCGATGGATTTGTGTTTTGTCGTACACTTCCGACACAATTCAATAGAGGCGAAATAAATTCTGAGTCGGCTCTTGTGCAATTCAAAGCGGATATGAATGGATTTGCTTATAATCAATAGATTCAATCACAGGCATTTTGTGATTGTTTGACGTATGATAAAGCCATTCATAGCATACGTGTAAATATACATGTGATTCCGGCATTGATATCATCTATCTCTGACTGATATTGAGTTAGTGTCTCTATGTATTCAGTTTTTGTTTTGCTGATTTTATTTTCATCTTTTTATGGATATCAAACCTTGATCCCTTTTGTGTGCCGCACATACCTATTCTTATCGTGGTCTTTATTGTCACACATGCTTTAGTATTCACAGCAACGCTTACGTGCATATATATGTAGTTTTTACCGACGATGGAATAACAAAAAAAATAGTCAAAATTCTAATGCTCATAACGAATGAAGCTAAACAAAATGCAAACATGGAAATTGTATGCGTATAAGTGGTGGGACGCAAAACAACATTTAAATAACAGAGCACTTACTCTGCATCCAAATAAGTGTATACTGTATGGGGTTGGTTTCCATTGTCGATAGAGATGGAGAGAGGGACCGAGAGAATCCAGTGTACAAAAGACCCGGGAAATGTGTATAAATAAACGTTTCAACGACGATATCACGAAAAGAAAGCAAACTTTTCGGATGAGTTTATGTTAATCTTCAGGTTTTTGACTTTTTGAGGTGACCAAATCCATAAACAATAGCTTTTGATTTTATGATTTTATCTGTTCTCGTCATTGTGTTCCAGTACGCGTGTGTGTGTTTGTTATTTTGCTATTATATTTTGCAACGATCGGAGTGGTTTTGTTGAGAAAATGAATGGATAAATTCGGATATTGTTTGCATATACCTGATTCGATACAAGCATATTGGTGTGAGAACAAGAGGAAAACGCGCGCGCAATATTACTATTTTCACAACCACGTCCACAATATTCACACAGACACATTCACACATGCCCGCCGCCGTGTATTCCCGATTATTGTGTAAATGAATCATAAATATTCAATGGTCGCATTTTGGCGAGAGTTGTGAACGCCAGAAATTCGTTTGGATGAAACAATGGCATACTGCAGCGA